AAACCCCAAAGTTCTATGTATACCATTGGTATCACAATTGGAAATCAAAGTAAGAATAGGCCATAGCACTGTCAGAGCAAAAGTTCTTTATCAATGCATGGTGTATAGTGTATACCCAACATTAAACCCTCCATTTCATTTCTAAAGACTACTAAAAAAAGATTTTTTTATCTGGCATTAAGTAATCTGTTTCTTTAAGATAGCAAGTTACCACAGCAACCTGTATACATGTACTTTAAGTGGCTTTGTTAAGACAGCTTTTTGATAAAATGTTACATTAAGACTTTTGACATTCTAAAAACTTTTACTGGTGGATCAATTTAGAAAGAAGATTTACATTTTTTAAGGATGTAATTTTGTCTTAGTGTACTCCAGTTTTTATATGCCCACATTTCCGACGCTCTAGAGGCTAAAGTTAATATCCGATTGACTTTAAATTTATACACAGTATTTAAGGTCATGAGACAAAGAAACCTATTGATTTTCTAATGATTTTCTGATAATTACTTAATGAGTTGTTACTCTTAATCAGATTTTAGTGTATTATAAATGTTTCATTAGTGACAATAGAAAAAATATGCGACAACTCTTCTTGACTACTCGGACGACTTAGCTGCTGTGGGTGTATGTTTTGTTGCCTGACAACCTATCTTAAATAACTGCAATATTTTTTCTTTGAGAAAATTTCCAAATACCTAAATAGGCCTTGAAAAGACAGTTGTTTAACTAAGTTATTTAATAAATTTGGTTCTCTTTTGACTATATTCTTTTACTGTTTATTCAAATTCAATATAAATCATTAGCTAGGTTTGGTGCCCCACTGAGATCTCCTGTAAGAAAATGCTTGAACCACCTGAGATGAATTCTTCTTCAGAGAGAGAGAGAGATGGGGTTTAACGTCCACTCGACACAACTAGGTCATTTCGGGACTAACATATGGTTTTTAATTTTATTTCAATAATTCGCTTGCGCATAGGGGTCTTTAGCAGTGGGAGGAAACCGGAGGACCCGGAGAAAACCCACGAGGTTGGACAGGCGACCCTACTCCTTGCCACGTACAACCGGGGATTCGAAACCACGCCAGTCGACTCAATGACAGACTTTATGATACAGCGCGCGCATGCTAACCATCCAGCCACCCAACCCCCCGAATTCTTCTTCAATGCATATTAAAGTCAAGGTAGTCGCTCTTGTGACATGGAAGACCTCAGATCATTTTTAATGATTTAAAATTTGAAAAAGACTTAATTTTAATTTCACCTTTTGCTTGAATCCCCCCCCACTCCCTGCAAAAATGGATGCCTGCGGACATCACCCCCAATGCCAAGGTCGTTGCTCTTGTGACATGGAAGACCTTAGATATGTTTTTAGTAATTTAAAATGAAATACATAAAAAAAATTAATTTTAATTTCACCCGTTAATTGAAAGCCCCCCTCTCCCCTCTTGAACTGGATACACTGAGCCATCATCTCCTCTGATCCCCCCCCACCCACACACACCCACCCACCTACCTGCACGCCACTATTATTTGTAAACAAGGGCAGTAAACAAGTTGTTTGTTGTGTAAGTGTGTAAAACAGAAGAGTAAACAAGCAACAATTGTAGAACAAATAAAACGGTAAATATGACATCGTTTAAATCTTTCGGAAGTTGGGTGTTTGATGTGACTCTTTGTGTGTTTGGAACGAATGTTTGAACAAAGCTTAGCATGATCACTCAACACAAAACAGTCATCATATCACATGTTCGATAGCCTATACAACAAGTTTACAAGTCAAATAGCACAAAGGTGAAAATATCTTAACCTTACAAGCACCCAAGACATCCGACAGTCGTGGTTTTATGGTTAGAATTATTGAGTTTGTCGAATTCTTGAGAATCTTTTTTTTTCAAAAGAAGAAAGGATAGTATTATGAAGGTCATGTAAGTTAATTATATCTGTTATTGTTTCTATTTTTAGACAAAATGTTTCAAATGATAATTTTTTGCATTAGGCCAACCCAATTTAAATTTTAGTTCTGTGTTTTTCTTCATAAGTAAAAAACCTCTTGAATCTTGTGAGTTTTTGCATTAGGCTAAACCAATTTAAATTTTAGTTCTGTGCTTTTCTTCATAAGTAGAAAGCATCTTGATTTTTGTGAGTTGTAGCCACAGTGGCTCAGTGATTAATACACAGTGGCTCAGTGATTAATACACAGTGGCTCAGTGTTTAATACACACTGGCTGTCTAACCAGGGTAAGATCTCAGTGTTGGCTGAGAAAGTTTCTCAGGATCTTCCAACGTGGTGTAGAACAGAGGCCATGGCAAGCAACGGTATCTTGTCATTTGGATATGCCAAAAAATGGAAGGATCTGTTAGCATGCATGCATGTAAAAGAATATACTTGACATAAAAATAAACACAACAGTTCTATGGATAACAATTACTATATTTAATTAAAGCTACGTTTCAACAATGATTCTCTTGTCGTCATTGTGCTTGATAACGACAAGAGAATCATTGTTGAAACGTAGCTTTAATTAAATATAGTAATTGTTATCCATAGAACTGTTGTGTTTATTTTAATGTGTTCAATTACTAAATGCCATTCAAACAGAATATACTTGACAATTTGAATTAGATGAAGAGTAAGCAGAAATGGCGCTGTCAGAGCAAACTTCACCTCATGGCTTATACCTGTCTTCATTAGGCCTGGTGGTGCAGAAAAGTAGGACGTTAAACCCCATTTCGTTTCATTTTTAGTCTTGTGACTGCCGTTTTGTTTAAAATGTTGAAACTTAAAAGTCGGTCTTTTAAGAAGAGCAACCTATTATGTTATGCACTTAAAAAGCAAATTTTTAACAGGTGTTCTTGAAGAACAGTTTATTAATAGGATTCTGTAAGTCTGATGCAAATTTAATTGGAAAACAAAACTAAATTTGCTATATATCTATCAGTGTTGGCTCTACAAATTCTTTATCAAATGAAATGAAATGGGGGTATAATGTCCTACTGTTCTGCATATGCCATGCGATGTGCAACAGCCCATTTCGAATTCCAAGGTTCTTTTACGTGCACAGCAGTTTTCTATCCCATCCAAATGACTAAACTCTGTTCCTTGCCAAGTCATCCATCCTGCATCACTGACAAGTGTAAACCATGCTGGAAAAATCCCAAATTCTACATAATAACTTTGAATTAAAGTTGGGAATTAAGAAAGTTTGAAGATTAAAGGGAAATAACTCTTCATGGCATCTTTTTACTTTATTGTGATTAATTTTCAAAGGAAAGAAAAGTAATGGAGTTTGTCACTATACTACTCAGTCCTACAGTTAATTTGCCCTAAAGTGCAATGCTAACTGGGTAGAATTTTGCTTGAGAGGTAAACATTTTTTTTGGAAGATCTGAAATGCCTAAAATGTGGGAACTATAAAATGTAAAAATCCTGAGATTTTTCATTCTTGACATCTACCAGGATTTGTGCCACACAACAACCAAAACAGTCCAATTAGTAATATCATATTACTGCTTTATTTTTTTACAAAAGGTAAAGAAACCACTCTGAATGCCTCCCCTACCTCCATCCCTCCCACAAAAGGAGGAACGGTCATCAATGGTTAGAGAAATCATCTGAGCTGACAATTTCATCCAACCCGCTTCACGCTCAGAAGGGGAGGCTTTGTATCATCCTCGTGGTTTACGATCCAGTCAAATTTGACTGACGTCCAAGCGAAGCATACTTTAGAAATGATCCCTAACAGTATGATCTTAATGAAACAATGTGCGTGAATGACTAGTATGAAATCAAGGTCAAAACTCAAAATGGCTAAAGACTTTTAGAAAGATTGATCTTATTTTATCCACAATAAATCAGAGAACCAAAGTTCAGATCATTTCAATTAGAAATATATTTTGGTCATTTTGCGACTTAACATACAGTTAATATTTTCCTAATTTGTTGTCTCCCTTGTTCATTAGTCGTCCACACTTGCTTGTGGATGCCCTAGTGGCTAAAGTTATCATCTGATGAACTATCAGAGTTTTCGCCCATGATCAATTTGAGAAAATCATATTGATGCTCTATTTTTTGATTACGATTCATGAAATATTATAGAACAAAGAATCCTGACTTTTTGATTATTTTGAGGCTAACATACAGTTATCTTTTTTGATAATATGTCCCCGCCATTGTTCATTGGAGAGAAAGAGAGAGAGAGAGAAATGGGGTTTGACGTCTACTCGACACAAACTAGGTCATTTCGGGACTAACACATGGTTCAATTTTATTTCAATAATTTGCATGCGCGTAGGGGTCTTTAGCAGTGGGAGGAAACTGGAGGATCCGGAGAAAACCCATGTGGTTGGACAGGCGACCCTACTCCTTGTAACGTCAGTTGACTAAATGACAGACCGTATGATACAGCGCGCGCGTGCTAACCATTCGGCCATCCAAACCCCCATTGTTCATTGGTCATCAACAGTTGCTTGTGGTTATTCTTGTGTCTATAGTTATCATCTGATGAACTGTCAGAGTTATCAGCCATGATCAATTTGAAAACATCATTTGGATACTCTGGGTTTTTTTTTTGGTATTATTTGAAAGACTAGACAATACTTTCATGAAATGAAACTGGGTTAACATCCTATTTTTCTGCTCCAACCGGGCTAATGAAGATAGGCACATGCCATGCAATTTGTTATGAGGGAAATTTTACCTGGATACCTGCACTACGATCCTTAGGTTTATTTCGATTCCAACTGATCGAGGGTTCTTTCATGTACAAACGCCAATGTGTACAAGGGTCCTCAATTTTTTGTTCCCATCTGAACAACTTACACACCAGAAATCCCAATGTACTGAGCCACCTCGATTCTCAATACTCACATATATGACCCCTAAACAAGCCCAAGATTGAACCCTGTTAGGATTTGAACTTCAGACACTCCCCTAATACCTAGCACAACCCTACAATTAAATTCCATGCTGTTAATCTCTCTCTTTTGTTTTTGAAAAAGAAAACCACTCTGAATGCTTCCCCTATCTCCATCTCCCCAACAAAAGGAGGAGTGGAACGGTCATCAATGGTTAGAGAAATCATCTGAGCTGATAATTTCATCCAACCCGCTTCACGCTCAGAAGGGGAGGCTTTGTATCATCCTCGTGGTTTATGATCCAGTCAAGTTTGACTGACGTCCAAGCGAAGCATACTTTAGAAATGATCCCTAACAGTATGATCTTAATGTAACGCTGCGATTGAATGACCAGTATGAAATAAAGGTCAAAATCTAAAATGGCTGAAGACTTTTATGAAGATTAACATTATTTTATCCATAACAAATCAGAGAAATAAAGTTCAATACATTTCAAATATAAAAGTTATAGAAGCCATAATCCTGTATATTTTGATAAACTTTGTTGAATTCAATTGAGAATATCTTGTCTATAATTAAAAGAAATACCTGTATGTAAAATATGTAACCACAGTTACTTAGTTATAATTTCTGTTGGACATATTGTTTATATTTTTGGTATTTAAATAGAGAGAGAGAGAGAAATGGGGTTTAACGTCCACTCGACACAACTAGGTCATTTTGGGACTAACATATGGTTTAATTTTATTTCAATAATTCGCTTGCGCATAGGGGTCTTTAGCAGTGGGAGGAAACCGGAGGACCCGGAGAAAACCCATGAGGTTGGACAGGCGACCCTACTCCTTGTCACGTACAATCGGGGATTCGAAACCACGCCAGTCGACTCAATGACAGACTTTATGATACAGCGCGCGCACGCTAACCATTCAGCCATCCGACCCCCCGGTATTTAAATAACTGATATAAATTTTTTAAAAAAAGATAAAACAATCCTGATGGTTTTGCTGATATCTGTTTCTGAATGTTCAGAATAATTTTGAAAATATTCATCGTGAAGTATTGATGTTTATGATTTGAAAAATAAAGGGTGATTACTATATGAAATGGGGTTTAACATCCTACTTTTCTGCTCTGACTGAGCTAATGAATATGGGCATAAGCCATACATTGTGATATGAGGCGAATTTTGCCCTAAAAGTGACACTATGGCCTACTCTTATTTCTAATTGCAACTGTTAACAATTCTTTTACATGCACGCCAATGTGAACAAAGGACCTCAGTTTATCGTCCCATCCAAACAACTAACACAATATGTTCCTTGCTAGGGCCTTGGTCCTGCACATCTGATAAGGAGAAACCATGTCAGAAATCCCAATATGCTTTCTCATCAAGCATGGATGGAGCCCAGAACCTCCAGGTTAGAGAGCCACTGCAGCTCCAATAACCTCATTATTGACCTCTCCAAACAATTGGGATCCAGGCAGTAAATAGCCAGAGATTCTGCTTTCCTTAACCCCTGTTAGGATTTGATCTTGAAACTTACCTCTTGACTAGCACACCCCCTGTATTTAATTCTAAGTTTTGTTTTTAAAAATAACCACTCTGAATGCATCCCCCTACCTCCATCTCCCCACAAGGGGAGGAGAGGAACGGTCATCAATGGTTAGAGAAATCATCTGAGCTAACAATTTCATCCAACCCGCTTCACGCTCAGAAGGGGAGGCTTTGTATCATCCTCGTGGTTTACGATCCAATCAAGTTTGACTGACGTCCAAGCGAAGCATACTTTAGAAATGATCCCTAACAGTATGATCTTAATGAAACAATGCGCGCGAATGACCAGTATGAAATCAAGGTCAAAATCTAAAATGGCTAAAGACTTTTAAGAAGATTAACATTGTTTTATCCATAATAAATCAGAGAATTACAGCTCAGTTCATTGCAATTCAAAATGTTATAGTCGACATATTTCTGAATATTATGGTCTATTTTGTTTAAATTAATTGAGAATATATTTGCTATAATTAAAATAAAAATTCTTTTTTAAAATATTTATATTTTTGTAGTTTAAATGTCTCATATCAACTTCAAAGAAAAAGATAAAATACTTGTGAATCTGATATCTGTATCTAAACATTCAGAATAATTTTTAAAATATTCATAAGCTTTTGAAATAATGATTGATGTTTATGATTTTGAGAACTAAAGGGAGATTACCAAACTATTACTGAAACCATGAACAAAAATGTGAGATGTTGACCATTGATCTTAGGTCTGTGCCTGGACTTTTTGACCTTTGTTTAATTATGGACCAGGATATTAATTGTGTTTATTGTAGTAATTACTGTAATGTCATGGAACCAGGGAATACCATTATCACACGATATTCTCATGACAGCTCTGTAATTATAATTTTTGGCTCAAAATTTGTTGTTATAGAGAAGTGATTCTCAACCAGCGAGATCTTCCTAAGTGTGCTGCGAAATTTTGAAAGGCACACAAAGAAAATTTCTCACTAAAGATGCCTGCTATTTGACTGATGAAATTCGAAACACTGAAATAAAGTAAGTTCATAGCTGTGTTTTTCTTTATTTAGTTTGAGTCATTCTATGTGTTTATGACTACTGTCTGATTCATCGTAAATTTTAAACGGATTTCTTCGAATATGAACAAACTACTTAACTTTGGTTATTATAAACTTACCTGTGTGTTTGTAATGAACTCCCGTTCGATAAAATCCATTGCACAACTAATTATCACAACGATGAAAACAATTTCTCTCTTGAAAAATTTGAAAATTTACTTGTAATTTCGACAGAGTCGATGTCAACAATGTCTTCGTGACGTAATGGTCGAATCCAATATACCTGTTGCGGGGGTTGGTTAACATTGAAAGATAGTTTGACAGCGCGATCATTTTGATCGTATATGGGTTTGGGCGACGAAAAATATCAATTGAAGGCAATTACATAGGAGATTTATATGGAAACCATTGATCGCCAGTCTATCAAATTTTCTTCACAATTAAAATATCACTGATTGCACGAATACTCGTAAAAATAAAGTCATGAATAAACTATAAATATCCTATCTTCTTTATGTTATAAATAATTTAACAAGGATCATGAAGCTTACCCCCGAATTCTCTGAGTGTATTTTTAATTTTATACGCATTCTTTCGATCGAATAATAACCGCTTCAGTAACATCTTTAAGCGTGTTGCGGCAGCCCTCAGCGTGTCTATTGCCGTATTGGGTGCCCGGGTGGGTATATAATGCTACTAAGCCCGTATGACCCCGTAAGAAGCGGAACATTAATTCTCGATTCGACAGTTTTGACCGAAGTGTGATAAAGCCCGTAAAACGAATGTATAGTTGTGTTTGTGCGGCATGCGTGTTCAAAAGTAAATAATCCCATCCGAGTCGCTAATCAAATAATTAGAACAAAATATTTCAAAAAGTAAAGCTATAAAATTTGCAGAGATTTTACTAGAATGTAAAAGACGGTAACTAAATACAGGAATGCGGGTAGTTATGTGTGCGAACGCTCAAACTCAATGCCAATTGTCGTAGGTATCCAGACCACTCGGACCAAAGACTACTCGGACTAAGACCAGTCGGACCAAAACAAGACCAGTCGGACCAATTAAATTATATTATAAGGCTAGACAATATGCTATTTATTTATTATTAAATCACAATACAAAGAAGCAAATAATTCTTATACGGAATTCTTATATTTAGAGTTGTTTGGTTCAATTTTGTGTACGGAAAATAAATCAACGATTAGTTTTAAAATTAATTAATAATGGTGCCAAAAAAAAATATCAATCTAATTTTTCTTTACTCTTGCAATGAGACTCGGTATGTCCAGACTTTTGACAGTTTCTACATATACGGGTATACTGTTCTTGTCTGATAGCCTAATTTTACTTTTTCCACATTCGCGGTATCCCCAGTGGTTTCATTCCGTTCTACCCCACTAACCCCTGGGTTACTATATATGGGGGGGGGGGGGGTGGAGACACGTTTTCAAGTTATCCGCCCTTGATGCGTTAATATAAACAGCACATAATAATACGAAGACCGGACGTTTATATGCCCCTTTTTAAACGTGACTACAAGTGTGGTTCTCGATATTTTGCGATTTGGAATACAATTATCAATTTATTCAAACAACACGTTATTATTAGTTCGAGTAGTCATATTAAAACACACACAATTATCAATTTATTCAAATAACACTTTATTATTGGTTCGAGTAGTCATATTAAAATAAACACAATTATCAATTTATTAAATTAACACTTTATTATTGGTTCGAGTAATTATATTAAAACAAACGCAATTATCAATTTATTAAAACAACATTTTATTATTGGTCCGAGTCGTCTTTCTGTTGGGTCCGAATAGTCTTTTTGTATGGTCCGAGTAGTCTATTTGTTTGGGCTGAGTGGTCTATCAGTTGGTCCGACTGGTCTTGAACCGAGTGGTCTTTGGTCCGAGTGGTCATGGATTCTTGTCGTAATTGTACTTGAATTTTCTATGCTGTCACCCCTAATACGAAATGATATCTTCCGCAGAGTGACGTAACCATCTTCCATATTGGTATTTTTCTCTGGGAAAAGTTTGTGATATTTCAATTTTTCAAGAGAGAACTTGTTTTCATCGTTGTGATAATTAGTTGTGCAATGGATTTTATCGAACGGGAGTTCATTACAAACACACAGGTAAGTTTATAATAACCAACGTTAAGTAGTTGGTTCATAATCGAAGAAATCCGTTTAAAATTTACGATGAATCAGACAATAGTCTGTGTCTACGATTGTATGCCATGTTTTTATTTTGCAAAATTCAAATATTTTTCATATATATTTAGCCAGGTGTGCTGCTATTTTTTCATGTGTTCCAAGGTGTGTTGTTGGTAAAAAAAAACAGTGTTATAGAGTCTTAGCAAACAATAATTTGTTTTTAAAAAATCAGTTAGAATTTAAAACATTAAACAAATTCAACCAAAGCTGAAGTAAAGTGTCCCCCCACCATTCTCACATGAAGACTAAAGGTGGATAACTCTTCGGTACTTATTGAGAAAAATAACCCTGAAGCCGGAAATCAAAATTAAGATCTTTCCATGTCAGATCCATTGATACTACCTCTGAAAAGTGGGATCTAGCCAAGCTAATAAAATCCCAAAGTTTTTGTCAGTCCATGCCAGGATTCAAACTAGGGACATTTTAGTTGAGAATTTGGTGCCCTTATCGTTCGACTACTGAATCCACCTATTCAATGAAATGAAATAAAAATTAAAATGAAATGAAATTGGGTTGAACATCCTACTGTTCTACTCCTACTGGGCTAATAAAGACG